TATATATATATATATATATATATATATGTGTGTGTGTTCAACTTACCAAAATTTCTTGATTTTTATTTACTTTTATATGTCGTTTGGTATTGTTTTGTGCAGTTACAAACGTAGTTATATAAATATATTTCGCGCAGCATGTCGTGCTAATACGCTGTGCCTCTAGACAGAACATTGAAATGAATTCTATCAACTGGTTTGATTTTTAGAGTATGAGTTCATTTAAAGTGTTAGTTTTACAGCCTTAATCAATTAGACTGCATGTTTACAAGAAAAGTAACATTGCATTAGAATATACATTTCTTTTAATCTTCAGATAACTATTTTACTGTGCATCACCCCGATATTTCTATTTTCCATCCCTCTAATTTTTATATAGTATATTTCATATTTTGTTTAGTTGAAATATTAACTTTTATATCTGTTTGAAAAAACGTTCTTAAAAATTGTCCACATATTTCTTGAAAATAAGAGATTGTTTCTAAATATTATTTTCCTGGAAGATGATGCTTAACATGATTCATTTTTCAGGCTTTATGTCTAATAGAAAGGAAGCCATATTTGCTATGTTGGCAACAACAAGTATCGGTGCTATTTGGGGTGGTCCTCTCCCTTACTACGCAGCTAGAGTAAGTTCACACATTTATATAGATGTTAAGTGGAGTTGTAATGCCCGTATTCAAAATCTTCAGTTTATTCCTTTTTAATGTTAACTTATTTATGGAACAAAAAAGTATTTTTTTTTAAATATTAATTAATAGCTAAAATTTTTTATGAAATACTTTTCAATGCTTTAATTGCTTTTAACTTAGACCATAAAATAGTATTTATTCGCTTTTTAAATAAACTAAATAATCATCCCCAAAAAAACGCTTTTTATTCTCAACCATACCAAGAACTAATTTGTTTAAATGGTATTTTTGATTAATATAAAATTGTACCTTTCATTAATTATTGAATATTCTAGTTAATTTACTAATGCTGATTAATTTCTAACCTTGGCGAACAAAAAGCACGTATTTTTTGGCCAAGTTTCTAACAATCAAAGTTTTGTTTAGTATTGTTAAGTAAAAATAGCATTTGTTTATACAATGCCTTTGTTTAGGTCCTGTGACTACTTTTTGTGACCTTTCTGTGACTGCTACACCCTATACATTTCCCAAAATATTTTATACAAAATTACAAATGCTATATGAAACATACAATGTAATACAGTATAAAAATGTTCTATACAAACATTACAAGAGTGTTCTATACAAAACACCGATTATACAAAATAAAACTCTAGCTGAAACATTTTTCTAAAGCAGACTAGAATGTGTTTTAAAGGGTTATACGTAAAATTAGAACCAGATAAACTAAATTTTAAATTTTTTAAGAATGCTTTTAATCTATAAGACATCACTCTGCATAGAACAGTTATGAAGGAAGTTTCAAAAAAGCTGTTTTTCATGACATAATGACACCATCTCAGCCTATTTAAACATAAGTCTGCTGCTTGATATTTTAAGATTATCTGCTGCTTCCAAGTACTGAATTCAATTTTTCGAAACAAGAAACTATTATTCATATTAAATCCAACAGAAAAATAAAACTGAAAACTCAAATAGCTCTGACGTTTTCATTTGTTGTTTGAAACTATAGTATAAAAACTTCTTTTACTGAATTATAGGAATTATTCTGACTTCAAATCTTTACATGTTTCTGCTATTTGAAATTATATCTTTTTCCTTTTAGGCTGCTTCAAATGTATTGAGCACAATGGAACCAAAAGTTCTTTTCACAGTCGATGAACATAGTGATAATGGAGTAAAATTCTATCCAATAGATAATCTTGAAGACATAGTCAATAGTAAGTTTATTTGCGATTTATGTGTGCCTGTCTCAAATGCAAGATAGCTGTAGTGCCTTATTTAAATTTTTGAATTAATTCACTTTTTCTTAGCAATTTATTTATTTTTTAGTGTTAATTATTTTACAGTTATGGTATTTTTCTTCAATACATTTTTAATAAATCATTCGAATAACGTATCTACACATATTAGGAGTTATTTGTTAAAGTACAATAAAAATTGGTCTCTGCCCTTTTGCTAATGTTTTCTTATTATGATATAAATTTTTATAACTGCAAAGTAGGGCTTCAATAAATAAAAAAGACTTCTATTACTATACACTACTTCAATACTAATAAATATTTAAATTTAAAATTTACTCTTGATTTCACGATAACTTTAAATTTTTCAGGTTATAATTTAGTTAAATATTTAAAAATTATTGCTAAAATCATTTTACTTGATGAAGAGTTGTATGAAGAATTTTTAACTTGATATATGAAAATGGTTCAATTTTTAGAGATATAATTCCATAAGAATTGTGATCATTTATCATCGTGATTATTTCATACCAGATTATTTTACAATAAAAAATATGTATAAAACATGATACAATCATTATTAAAATAACTATTCGCAATTCGAATTTGCAGCTGTATACCTATTAATTGGTATTTGGTCAGCCGAATAGCGAGTTTGCTGAATATTCGGTATTACTTGAAAGTATAATATCTTTCAGAGTTAAAATTTGAAACTTGGAAGAATGTATAATTTCTTAATAACATTCCATTGAAGCACTCTCCAATTTTGGGGGGAAAAAGTATTTGGTAGAAGACATCAGAAAATATACCAGACACATTCTCTTAAAATGTAAATACAGCTAACTTCTGTCATCAAACTTAGCTCTGCTTCTTCCCATCCAGCCAAACCTGCTCTAATAAGATCTTCCTTAATGCATCTTTGCCATGTTAGTCTTGGTCTCCCTCTTTTTCTCTTTCCGTCAGGTGCCCATGACCTTGCAACATTTGCAGGATTGATTCTATCTATTCTTAATATAATTTTATACTTTATACTTAATGCAGTCTTATACTTTCAAATAATTTTTTTTTTCAGATACCCCATCATTGGAAAAAGTTGTCATTGTACACACCAATGATAAAACATTGTCTCGGGACATTTCAAACATCAGAAACAGGTAATTCAATCACTAAAAACAAATAAAATCGCATTTTGTAAACTTTCCAACAGTTTTTTAAAACAAAACTTTGTGTTTAGCTGCTTTCTGGAAGAGTTTTTGGAATGTGGTAAGACCCCAGATGGAACTACTCCAGATATTGTTTTTGAACAATTACCCTTCAACCATCCAATAGTTATCAACTTTACATCCGGAACCACTGGACTTCCAAAGGCTCCTCTCCATTCAGCTGGAGTAAGTGCACTCATCAAATGCAATAATAACATGGTAGTTATATGCGTTAATAATTAAAGCGTTGCAATAAAGAAAATGTAGAGTATATAAGAGACATAATGTATATTAGAGACATAATGTATATTAGAGGCATAATGTATATTAGAGGCATAATGTATATCAGAGATGTAATGTGTATTAGAGGCATATAATGAACATTATATGTCATTACAGACAATTTATACATTAGAGATAATGTAATGTATATTAGAGACATATATTTATTATTCTTCAACATATTATTGAAAAAAAATTAAATAACTTTTTTATAGTTTTGCACGTAAAAATAAGAAAAACTTTGCTTTTTAGCATATATCTTATATTTCTCCATTGCAATTATTGTTTCTTTTAAATTATTTAGTTTTATTGGGATGTCTAAGCTGGCGTTATTTCATTTATCTATCCATTGGCAATCGCTCAATTAAATAGCAACCAATATTTAAAATTAGAGATTAGAATACATATCGTCCAATAGGAATAGTGTAAGCAGCTAGTTGCCATTCACTACCATAAAAATGCAACAATTGATTTATTTATTCAACTCATAGATGTAGATCATCTTCTGACTTGTTCATTAATGATCTTTGATTAATAAGCTTTATGGTCTTTAATTAAAATGTTAAAGCTTAAAAACTGCACAAAGTGAAGTATGAAGTAGATGAATGTTGGTTACATTTTGCTGTTTTAAACAAAAAATCTACTAAATTAATATGTGACTAATTTATTTTACTTTTAAAAAAGTTAAAAAGTGTTTAAAATGAAAGTTTCAAATTTATAAATTAATAAATAAATGAGAAAAATTTTTGGAGTTCTTTAAAATAAAAATTAAAAGTTACTACCATCTGTTGTAAGACTTAAAAATATTTTACTTCCCCTTACAGGAGAACTAAAATTTTTGTTAAATTAAAACTTTGATCTTTTACCCAGTTTTCTTAAAGGTCTCTTATATCTTTCACACAGAGAAAAATTTTGCTCATTTTTTAATGTGCGCAACATATTATGAATTAAATTAAAGCATAATAACATAAATTCCCTCTCTTTTAATGTCTCAATCGGTTTTGTATTATATTTTCAGACGTTCTTGGCTGAATTAAGAGATTTTGCTTTTCATCTGAATCTAAAATCTGGAGATACCATTTATACATGCTACCCTGTAAGTACAATTCAATTGAATATGAGTTTAAGGAGGACGTAACAATGGAATGATAAAACACAATCTATTTCTTTTATTTTACACAATTTTTCTAAAGTATACCCAGTCCAATTAACCAGTTTAAATTAATCCAGTATAAATTATACCCAGTCCAGTATAAATTAAGACTTGAATGAACTCGAAAAATTCAACATTTTAAGTCGATCTGTTTTATCTTGCATAGTAAACTTTGAAAGGTGTTTATTAAAGAAAAAGACAACTTAACTGACTCTTACATGTTTCATACCTTATTAACACGTTGAATGCCATGGGGGTCACCGGTGACCGGCAAAGTCAAGATTATTAAAAACACATAATTCGAGTAAATTTTTAAATTTTATTTACATTATTATCGTTACTAAAATGGTTTGAAGAAATTAATGCAATATAGAACACACAAAAATAGTTTTATTCATATACACAGAGACGCCAACTTGCCCCTGACAGCGAATAAATATTTTCAAGTGGTAGTTTANGCTTTACACCAAGCAGTGCAAAGAAATATTACTGCGGTTTCACTTATGGTGTAAAGTAGTTACAATTTTTACAGTGTAGGCCTAGTTTTGTATACAGCACAAAACATATCCTTAGTTCTTTTAATTTTTATCTTTGTTTTCCAACAATAAAATAGAGCTGATTATATTTCTTTCGAAATCAGGTAGGTTGGACTCTTTGGGATACGATGATCCCTCCCCTTGCTCTGGGGGTGAAGCTATACCTGCATGCCGGATGCCCGCATTACACGGAGAAGGGTGCCAATGTATGGGACATCTTTTCCAGGCACAAGGTCACTTTTGCTTTTATCGTCACGTGTATCGTTGACAGACTAGAAAAAGAAAACATCATGCCAAGTAACTCAACATTCTACATTAAAAACTACTACTTCTTATAATGAGTTTCTTATTACATTACTAATAGTTCATTTTTGTAATATCGAATACGATGAAAATTGTCTTTAAAATGTATGTAGGCTTTCTTAGAAACTACAGAATCAATTTTCAAAAAATTGTTTTTGTGCACATTTTAACCCATAATAACACAGGAATTATTTAAAAAATTTTAACTATTTTTATTTTTTTTATTGATGGTTAAAGTGAATTTATTGACACAAAAATCCCTTTAATTTTGCACTTTAATTTCATAATGTAAACTTTTCCGGGTTGTTTTAAAAATTGTGTTAAAATGTGCTCCATAGCAATAGAAGAAAAAAAAAGATTATTTTTTCAATCAAACAATTATTTTGTTGATCAATTTAGAAGGTTCCTCAGCACAGGATATGTCACCCTTGTTAATTCAAAGAAATGATACTTAATAGTATCGTTCGCAATGTTACTAAATCGCATATTTTAAACTTAGATGCTAACTAAAAGTTACTAAGAAATTAATAAAATTTCAATCAGCTTATTAAAAATATGCTTTAGGAAGAAAAAAAAAGTGCTGCGTGTGAGCTGAAAAAATAAGACACCCAATTTTGGCATTTTATTCAATACATTACCACAAATAATTTAAGATAATTTCTCTTTTTAATTTGCAACGTTAAACAATGCAAAATACAACGTAGAGAAATGAAAAAAATGCGCATTGATACTGTTCTACGGAGCATTAATTAAACTAATACGACAAACACCAGTGATATGTTACACATTTAAATTAAATACTTATTTTCATAAAATTCATGACCTCAGTTTAAAAAACCCACTATAACAACGTTATATTTCGAGTTGGGAGATACTGACCGAAAGGTTGCGATTGACCAAAAGTTCTGAATTAACCCCTTAACGATCGGTTAATTTTCAAGGAAACGGTCATAAAAGTGCCTATTTTGCCAAATACGCGTATTTGATTAGTGCTGACATCTAGTTTAAAATAAACTAACTATCTACAATTACCTTAAAAATATCCTGGTACTGCCATCTGGTGTGTAAAATAAGAAATAAAATGTTTTCCGAGCAAAAGAAATTAATTAGTTTTATTCTTATTGGCGCGTTACTACTGAACACTCCAACCCGGAAATTTCACGAGAGCGAGAAGTAGAGGGCGAAACCTTACCCCGTCATTTCCACAGGAGCAAGAAGGAAGGGGTTAAGCAGCCGAGTTTTTCCATGTGAATGATACACAAAAACAATAACGATAAAAAATAATAAGCATGAATGACTTTTAATATAAAGATCAAATGAATAATGAAAAATGAGTATGAACTTCTCGAACTATGGTGCAATATTAATGATCCGACCGAACATTCAAATAATTTAAACTACCAAGACAGACACAAAAACACACTTTTTCTAAACAAAACTACTTTTTTATGGTGGATTTAAATTTTAACACACAATTTCAATAGGTGGTTAAAAAGAAATTCGCGAAATAGTTTTAATAATTTTAGCAGGAGAGTGGAGAAATTTCAACACCATAGTGTTAACCTATTATTGCCATCATACACACAATCACACATTTTAAGGAAGGTTTTATTTTAAAATTAATCTATTAATCTTCAATTATTGTAAATTAAAAGCATAAAAATTATTGCTGCTACCATAATCGCTAGATTTAAAACAACAAAATCCTGAAAAATGAAAATTTAAAACTACGATTTTTTTGGAGTTATGTTAATCAGAAACTGTTTGCCCAATTTAATTAAAATTTTAGACTTAATCATTTAAAGCTACGTAGTATCGAATAATGTAAAAAATTACAAAAATAGTTTGATTATTTTAGAATTAATAAAAAAAATTGCACAATCATTAAAAAACATTTTGTGTAGAGTTTTCTTATTATAATTAATGATTTCCTCATTTTTTTATTCCATTCTGAAAATTCATAAAAATTTAAAATAGAGTTTCACAAATTTAATTCAAAAAGTGTGAATTGCCACAAATATTTATTGTTGATAAATTCTTAGCATAATTAGAAGTCATAATTAGAAAATGGTGTTTCAACCCAAAAATATTATGAGCAAATAATTCTTTAATAAAACAGATTATGTAACTTTTTATTTTTAACACTATTCAGCGTAAAGTAATATAATATTTTAATGTTACTGAAATGTTAAAATTAACCTTTAAAAATAATATACTCTATTAACATCAAGTGTGCGATATAACTGTCAATTGTAATCTTCATTAGCTTCAAAAATTAAAGTGTGAAAGGTCGCTATGTTTCGAGCGCTCAAAACAAGCACCCAAAATCAAAATCCACAACACGTAAAATATTGTTTTCGCAAATGAAGATTGCAATGGGCAATTATATGTTCATCTTCAGTTTCTTGGGATTATCCATCTCATTTCTGATAATTTAATACATTTTGTGTGTATATGTTCTGTAGAACCTGGTACGAATTTAGACTGCCTGAAGGTCATAGGAATAGGAGGAAGTCCAGTGAAAAGACAAAACTTTGAATACTTGCGTAAAGTAAAAAGTGATGTATTTGTTGGAAGCATGTACGGTGAGTTACCCTTTGTTCATAGCATTTAAGTAGAGTAAAAATATGTTTGAGCCTTTAATTTGTCTGCTTTTGCCTTAAGTTAAATACAGCGATTAAAGTTATGACAATCAACTTTTACTCAGATTTAAAATCAGAAAAGATTTACTTCATTTATCTGTTTTTGCTTCCAGTTAAAGTAGATGATTGAAGTTATAGCAATATCTTTTCACTTAAATCTTCAATCGTTGAGCCCCTGAAAAAAATTGTACGGGAATTTCCCGATTACGCACTACTCTCAAATTGAATTACATGGGGAAAACCAGTTTTTTTTTTTGACGCAGTAAAACCTGCTGCAAAATGTTCGGAAACTAACGCTAAGAGCAAAGCAAGGATTATCTGATTTTTGTTTCAAGTGAATTGTTATTCAAACATTGTTATTTAACAAAACAAAACTCGATAAAAACTATGTCAACATTGTGGACAATGCGAGCAGAGAGCATTGTGGTCAATGCGAGACGGTAAGAAAAACTGCGTTGCAAAAGTTTTAAGACTTTCAAATGACTGTTTTAATCTGTTTATGATTAGGCTGAAAAACAGAGAGAAACAGTTCAGTCAATAAAACAGTTAAAACCGTCAAATTTACGGTAAAAGTCTGTAAAAAGGAAGGGGATTTTTAACAGTGAGCTAATAGCGGTAAAAAAAGAGAGAGAAATCTATTTTTCTTCAGTTTATTTTATGAAATTTTTTTTCCTGTAGAATTTACAGTTATTTTTCGCAGTGTAAAGAGCGGTACATTGATAGACAAAGTTATTCATAGATTTGTTGAAAGTTTTATTAAATTTTCAACATTTTTTTTCCAGTTTAATTATTTAGAGCAAGTTGTAGTAACTTTTCCCGATGCAACTATGGGAACGTATTCTAAGATTCAGTTTAATAATTTAAAAATCATTTCGACAAATATTCTTAAGTATTATACAGGTCAGTAAAACTGAATGACCAAATTTTAAATATTTTTATTTTAAAGGCAATTACACATCTTACAATGGTACACGAAATTCAAAATAAAGATTTAAGATCTTTTTTCAGTTTTTCAGTTACAAATGTGCGATGCGTAACCGTTTTGCTTCGCGCCAAACTTCTATAGGGTTGTTCGGAAAGTGATTTCATCTTTTCCAAGCAGAGAACTTCATTGTATTTTTTTGCAGTCAACTTCAGGCTTAAATTGCATAATTATTATAAATTTTGAAAGCTGATAGCAGGAATCTTACTTGTGAATAATTTCGATTGATTCCTTATTGTAGATTTTGGTTAGTGCCCTTTCAAATATAAAGAGTGAAAAACAGAATTTTTGGCATATTTTAAATTTTTACTACAGAGAATGTAAAAATGCTGTCCAAGCAAGAAAACCCCTATCCAATGTGTGGAAGATGTATTGACAATCTATGCCAGTACAAAATGTGATTTGCATAATTTCGATTTAGGTGCATGAGATGCACGTAGCCAGTTTAGGCTGATGAAGACACAATAAGGGCATTATTTAATGCAAACTAGAGCCATGGTAACTCAGAGGATAGAGCGCTCGCCTCTCAATGAGGTGACCCAGGTACGAATCCCAGCGATGGCTGGTCGATACGAATTCCACAACTGACTAGCACCGACCTCAGTGCTGATGCAAAGTGCTGATGTCTAGATAACAAGACTTCCTAGATTCCTAAGTATTCAGAACAATACCTCCTAGGAGAGAGAAGGCACAGGTTACCATAAGCAAGAAATTGCCTCCTTTAGTAGTCCAGACGTAATGACATCTGTCTAATTTCTCTCTCAGCACAACTTAGTAGCCTGAACGTAGTGACATCTTTCTTATTTTTAACCTCCACCGCGCAGTTTGTTTGTTTCCACGGTTTCCTAATATGATCCGTGTTGAGGTATTCTCACTTCTAGGAGGTTTTGGTTATAATCCTCTTTCCGTCAAGGCTAACCGTAAGAGGTTTTTGTGATTTTCCTGTCCATGTAGAGTAAGTTCGCATTAGCTCGGGCAAAAAGTTCTTCAGGAAAGCAAATTTTTCCCGAAACTTGATTCTTTTGTCTTCTAGATTGGGCTCACAATTACCAGGCTACGGAGTTAAAAATTAGCAGTAGTAAACTCAAGATTGGGTCAGCTGTTCAACAACGGTTATAAAATAAAAATAATAATGCAAACTCGCGGATTACAACTCGTAAGATCGCTGAGAGATTAAATTTGTTGAATTTGACCGTTCATGATCATTTGAAACTGCTGGATTTATTCTCAAAGCTCGACATATGGGTTCCTCTTGTATTCATATTTGTGACGTTGCATTGACACCAAGAAAACTATCCATTTTTGAAGCACATCATCACTGGGAACGAGAAATGGATTGTTTATAATATTTGTTCGGGTCTCTCGAAAATTTTTAGACGGTAATACCTTTACCTCAAATGGGTAGATCAAAAATCACCTGAATCAGTCTTTACCAGCAAAGAACGAAACTTTTATGTGCTAGGAATCGTGATGTTACCGGAAAGATGGCAAAAGGTATTGGACCAGAATCGACAATATATAATTCAATAAAAATTTTACTCACTTAAAGAAAATCTTTAATTTTCACAAGAAAAAAACGAAATTGCTTTCCGAACAACCCAATATTTTGTAATAAGGATTGTTGAACGCATTCAATCGTTTCTCTTGCTGCACAAATCATTTAGTGGTAGTATTTTTGGAATCTATGGGGTAACTTCCTACAAAGAAATCCAAGCAAGGACCATGTGAATAAGTGTAAATTTCTTGTCCACACGCTCTAAATACTATTTAGGAGCGATGCAGTAGAAAAACTTAAATACCTCATTTGCAGCATCAGGAACCTTTGACACGGTGCAATTACAAAATGAGGGGAATGAACTGGATAGATATTTGATGTGTAACAAAAGAAGCGTCGAACGCATGTAACTGAACAAAAACTTCTATTTTTTGTATTATTTCTATCAGTGCATACAATAGTTTTCATTTCAGTACCATAAACATTTAAAATCCGTTTGTTCATTTGTGATCACTTTGAAGTATATTAATTCATGTTTTTCCCTCTGTATTTTGTTGCATCAATTTGAGAAATACGAATAACAAAGATTAAAACTTAAAAATCAAAGCCCAAGATCAAATAAC